TTTATTTGCAAATTATGGTGGAAACTAAGTATTTGGTCAATAACAAAAGTTCATCTCAATACTTTGTTATATACCCTTTGTTGGCAATGACAGAGGTCAAACGTTTTCTGTAAGTCTTCACAAGGTTTTCACACACTGTTGCTGGTATTTTGGCCCATTCCTCCATGCAGATCTCCTCTAGAGCAGTGATGTTTTGGGTCTGTCGCTGGGCAACACAGACTTTCAACTCCCTCCAAAGATTTTCTATGGGGTTGAGATCTGGAGACTGGCTAGGCCACTCCAGGACCTTGAAATGCTTCTTACGAAGCTACTCCTTCGTTGCCCAGGCGGTGTGTTTGGGATCATTGTCATGCTGAAAGACCCAGCCACGTTTCATCTTCAATGCCCTTGCTGATGGAAGGAGGTTGTCACTCAAAATCTCACGATACATGGCCCCATTCATTCTTTCCTTTACACGGATCAGTCGTCCTGGTCCCTTTGCAGAAAAACAGCCCCAAAGCATGAAGTTTCAACCCCCATGTTTCACAGTAGGTATGGTGTTCTTTGGATGCAACTCAGCATTCTTTCTTCTCCAAACACGTCTAGTTGAGTTCTATTTTGGTTTCATCTGACCATATGACATTCTCCCAATCCTCTTCTGGATCATCTAAATGCTCTCTAGCAAACTTCAGACGGGCCTGGACATGTACTGGCTTAAGCAGGGGGACACGTCTGGCACTGCAGGATTTGAGTCCCTGGCGGCGTAGTGTGTTACTGATGGTAGCCTTTGTTACTTTGGTCCCAGCTCTCTGCAGGTCAATGACTAGGTCCCCCCGTGTGGTTCTGGGATTTTTGCTCACCGTTCTTGTGATCATTTTGACCCCACGGGGTGAGATCTTGCGTGGAGCCCCAGATCGAGGGGAGATTATCAGTGGTGTTGTATGTCTTCCATTTTCTAATAATTGCTCCCACAGTTGATTTCTTCACACCAAGCTGCTTACCTATTGCAGATTCAGTCTTCCCAGCCTGGTGCAGGTCTAAAATGTTGTTTCTGGTGTCCTTTGACAGCTCTTTGGTGTTGGCCATAGTGGATTTTGGAGTGTGACTGTTTGAGGTTGTCTCAAACAAGTGTCTTTTATACTGATAACGAGTTCAAACAGGTGCCATTAATACAGTTAACAAGTGGAGGACAGAGGAGGCTCTTAAAGAAGAAGTTACAGGTCTGTGAGAGCCAGAAATCTTGTTTGTAGGTGACCAAATACTTATTTTCCACCATAATTTCCAAAAAAATCCTTTAAAAATCAGACAATGTGATTTTCTGGATTTTTTTTTTTCTCATTTTATCTCATAGTTGAGGTATACCTAGGATGAAAATTACAGGCCTCTCAGCTTTTTAAGTGGGAGAACTTGCACAATTTGTGGTTGACTAAATACTTTTTTGCCCCACTGTATGAGTCCAACAATGTGGTAGGATTGCTATGCTAAATCTGTGGAGTCGTTTTTTAAGATGTTGTTTCCCAATAAAGAGGTTGTTGTTTATGAGCTACTTCCAACTCATCGTACTTCATAGTATCGATATGTATTTTCAAACCCAAGACGGCATGTTTTATATATTATATTTTTATTTATAGATGCCACATTATGCTCATTTTCAGGTTCATATTTGTATTTTGTGCTTTGGCTGTGACATGTCTCCATGCTTCAATGTTCAAAAAAGGGTTTTATTTGTCTCATACTGCCTGTGCTGCAGCAGCCAATTACGTACAATGTGTTGGAGCTCTAGCAAATAGAAGCGCGTGGGTTATGTCACATTGTTACATAAGTAAATAAAGGAGTCCAATGGAGGTGTAACTTTGGTATTTTAGCCTTAGCAGACCATTAACATGCACAAAAAACCGATATGACACACTACAGGAAATGGAAAAACACACTACTACACACACTATAATAAAGCCCCTTTAAAAACTGATTATAGATGTGTGATGTTGGACTGGCATAAACCTTGTTACAGGGAACACATTGCATCTGTTTTTTGGACCTTTATTGCCATGACCATATCAACATATTATTGCCAAATCATGTTGTTACAACAAAAAAAAAAAAGTAAAAATGAACACTAACCATACATGTTAACGATACATTTGGCACAACAGCAAAACATGAAACTTACATGCCACCTGGTGGCGCATCATGACATCACCATTTTGACGCTGATTTTCTCACAATGGGGGACTGCGTCAGGTCATGTTGCTTTTAATCATACGAAACCAGATTAAATTAAAGAACAACTTCTCGAACGCTATACTCTTCCCCAGAGTGCACTGGTTCATTGTTTATTAATGTGTTTCAGCGGCATTTACCGACCGCCCCGGTGCTGCTCGTCCACCGGAGTTTATTTTCCCGTTAACTCACGGCAGGGTTGCTAGAAAGCAGTAGTTCCTATGTGTTTCAGTCTGAATTTACGCTTTTTGGCCTCCCAACGCAGTTATTAAAGTATCTCTGGTATAGGACAGGCGATGTTAGCATAGCAACTGAAGCTCATCCGGCGTATTTTTCTTTATGACTTTACTTGTGTAGCCCATGTACTGATTCCACCTGATAGCTGATCTAATAAAAAACAACGGGAAAATATATGAGGCAGTTCAAAACGGGCAACGGTAAATAAAAGCAAACGGATGGTAATTAAAAGTAAGGTAAAAACAAGCAGCATCACACTGTGCCTGGTTAGTGTTGACTGGCTTTATAGAAGTGTGTTTTTTTTTACAAGTGTTTGTAAAACTCTGTTTCTACTTTGTGCTATTTGCACATCTGGCAGAAGTGCTCCTCTTTTGGGAACTATGATCTTTTGTAGCGGGCAGTCTCCTCTCTTTCTCTCCTCCCGGATTGACATGCTGCATGCATTGTGATTGACAGCTGGTCTCGAACTGCCTATCCCTGTGTACAGTGATGATGTTCTGTTTTTTTTGCAGAGATATTGCAATCTGACAGACCCAACCTGAGGAGGACACAGAGTGAGGAGTCCCCGGGTACACCTGGATCTCACAACAGGTCAGCACGCACGCACGCACACACATATATATTTATTAAGCTTCATGTAATCTGTTACTCCCCAAGCCTAGCCTTATGGACAATACTGAGGCTGTATAACCTTTAGAATGATTAATTACTGCAATAGTAATTTCACTTAAAGGTGGGATAGGTAATTTGGGAGAAACCAGCTCGAGTGCGCTAGAATTTGAAAATACACAGCCGGAAAAAATCTGCCACTTCCTTACAGAGCCCCTCCTCCAACACACACGAACGCGCACATGACCAATGAGGGCACGAGATAAGTTTGTGCACAGATGGAAGGCTGACAGGCAGGTAGGCCATCCAGTTACTTTAGCCGGGCCGGCTCAGATGATTGTTCGTGCTTTTTACAGTATTACGGCTTCCACAGATGACATTTTTGTATAGATTTTTTGTCAAAGCACTTCAGATATTCATTGCTATCGGGATGTTAAGAGCATTCCACGGAATATAACACAAAGTGTATCTCGAGCCGGTTTCTCAAACTTACCTACCCCACCTTTAATGAATGTATAACACCGTACATTTTCATATATTTATAAAATATGCTAATTTCTACTTCTTGTGTTGATATAAAACATTTGTTTTATTTTATCTTTTTGTTACACACTATTAGCTTTAACTTCTTATGTCCATATAAATATTTCTATTCTGTTTCATTACTTTTTTATTCGGAAAAGGTGCATCTGACACAAACCCAAATGTTGCAAATGTTCATATTTCTTTGTCATCTCTCTCTTATGCCTCATCCCTCTTCCCAACTTCCCCCCATCCCTCATGTTGCCTTTCTTCATCTTCTGCTTTTCTTTCTCTTTTGCAGGAGTAACAGGCACTCAGTGGGAGGAACACAGGGCAGCTCCCCAGGGGGCCCCAGGGGGGGCTCTCTGACCAACGGGGAGCTGAGTGAGGAGCAGAACCCCGGCCCGGGCTCAGTCGCTCACCGTCGCTCCTCCAAAAGTCACGGGAGCCCAGGAAGCAGCGCAGGTACAGTTACACTCTAGATGTTTACAGTGCACACTCTAACTTCAGGTTGACTCAGACTGGAAGCGCTGATTTTAATTGTGGAATGTGGAAAGATGCTGCTGATAAATATTTATGAAGATATCCTGTATCTTTTAAGAGTTGAAAGAATGTTATTATCTTTCTCTCTTTTGCTCTAACACTTTCTTTTTTGAACATACAATACACTAAAGACCACATCAACACAATCAAATTGCTGCAGTTGGTTGTGATTTCTGTAGTTGTCTTGAATAAGGGTATACATTTTTAATAAGAATAATAAGGAAAAACGTAACTGTTAACTGTTTGGGTTGTGAACTGGATCCAAACCAGAGCCGCCAATGGGTTCTGACCTTGACGTATGAAGAGAACTGGATACAGCTTTGGAGGCGGGGCCCATTCATTCCCGTCAGTGGCTCATGAAGCAAAGATGGCCTGAGAAGAAAAGCTCCCGTATCTGGGCCCAACGAGTGTGCTCATGTTGCTTAAGCCCCGCCCCCAATCCGCATTGTTGCGGCCTGTCTCAGCGCAGTCAGATGAATGGAGAGGGCAAATAACTGCACATTTGGCTTTTAGTGCATTTTACAACTTTTAACCAATAATTATTTAAATAAAGGCTATTCAAGTGTTCGTGCTGTGTAGTTTTAAAATCTTTCCTAATTTAAATTTAAAGAGTCATGGTTGTGTGAATCAACCCCATGAAAATATTCCTAGCTAGATAAGAGGTTTGGTTGTTTAAAGATCTGCTAACACTGAGCAGACTTCTGCCTTGGCCTCTATAACAATATATCTGTTAAAGCTCACTACAATGTAGCATTTTTTTAGCAGCCAACTTTGATGAGCTTCTCAGTAGAACATGAATACAGTATTACACTACTACTATGACTAAAGAAAACAATATACACTCTTCCTCCTGATTTGGTTTGAGCATTCTCTATAACCAGGTAACATTAACTCTTTCCTCCCCTCTCAGACAAAGTGGAGTTGACGTCTAACGGGCTGGAGAGCAGTCGTGGGGGTGTGGCCCATCTCACCCCTCCTCCCCCCTCTCTGTCGGGCCGATCCCCGGTTGACAGCAGCAGCAGCCCCTCTCCGGGTCAGGACGCTCTGGGACCGGCCCCGCCCGCAGAGCCCGGCCCTAACCCCCCCCCCAACACAGAGCAGGCCAGCAACAGCAACACGGAGCCCTCCACAGAGACACTGCCCACAGGGTAAGATCATTTGGGGACAAAGACAAAGTAACAGCTAGCTTCTTAATGAACCTCGAGCAGGCCCTTTAGCACAGTCATTGTGACATTTATAAATACGCATAAGATGAATCAAAACGTCATGGAAAAACTTTTATCAGCCTCCAGGGGGATTTTCTCTCCCACATGCACTCATAAGATATCTTACGGAATAGATGCCGTCAAATGTGAATTGTGTCTCTCTCACCCTCACTCTCTCTCTCCCTCCCTCTCTCTTCAGCTGGGAGCAGAGGGTGTTGCCTCATGGCAGAGTGTACTACGTCGACCACAACACCAAAACCACAACCTGGGAGAGACCACTGCCACCAGGGTACGCCTGTTACATTTTTACATGTTTTTTTATCGATACATTGATTTGTTTTTCCACACATTACAGTAAGCCCATGTTAGGCTGACCAATAAGCTCGGCTTAACATCAAATATTTTTCAGCCTGTCATCTCTCCAACCTGATAATTATTTTCCAGCACAAAACTTGGATTTCTCAATATCATGCCTCAAATAAGGAAATTACCGTAATTTTCGGACTATAAGGCGCACCTGAATATAAGCCGCAGCAGCTAAATTGAATGATGTGTACATATATAAACCGCACTGGACTATAAGCCGCAGGTGTTTTAATGTTTAATTACCATATGTAAGGGTTCGTGCACAGAGGGGATTGTCGGGAAAGAGATGGCTGTTTGAGGAAGCTCCCATTTATTAACATTTCAACAAACAAGTTGCATATTTGCATAACGTATTCAAGTGTTACCATTTAGTGCAATAGTAGCTACAGAACATGTACTGTGCTGTGTA